TAACTGCAAAAGAGATGTCTAGTCTTGTCATAGTAAGATAGTTCAACTTTCCAACTAGTCGGCGATAATGACCATGGTCTGCCAATGGCTCCCCCTGTCCGGGTAACAACTTAACATTAGGATCCATAAGTGTATCAATAGGTTTGCATTCCAACATACCAGTCTCATCTAGGATATCCAGTGCGTACTTCCTCTGACAAATGAAAATGTCTTGTCTAGATTGTGCCACTTTGATTCGCAAAAAATATCGAAGTCTACCAAGATCTTTGATCTGAAATTGATTGAATAAGTATTTCTTTAACTGATCAATCACAACTTGATCGCTGCCAGTAATAATGATGTCATCAACATAAACCAAGAGATAGATACACTAGCCAGAAGAGCTATGCCTATAGAAGACAAAATGATCAGCTTTACTTCTGGTTAAGCCAAAGGATTGAACAGCAAAACTAAAGCGACTAAACCAGGCCCGAGGGGACTACTTTAAGCCATATAAAGATTTACGAAGCTTACATACCATTCCAAAATTCTCCCTCTGAGCAATTAAACCTAGTGGTTGCTCTATATATACTTCCTCTTGCAAGTCACCATTTAAGAAGGTATTTCTGATATCAAGCTATAGAAGGGGCCATTGATGAATGGCAGCAAGTGCAAGAAACAGACGAACAGAGGCAATCTTGGCAACAGGAGAAAAAGTATCCCCATAGTCAAGGCCAAATATCTGAGTGTATCCTTTAGCCACTAAACGAGCTTTGAGGTGATCAACAGTGCCATCAGGACCAACTTTGACTGTGAATACCCATCGACAATCGATAATTACTTTCCAGGAGGAGCACGAAAAAGATCACATGTGCCATTGGAGTGAAGTGCTTGCATTTCATCAATCATCGCCTAGCGCCAACCCGGATGAGATAGTACTTCACCTGTGATTTTAGAAATAGACAAAATATTAGAAATAAAGTAAAATGCGGTGAAGAAAGTCTATCATAACTCAAGAAACTGTAAAGTAGATGAGGGTTGCGAGTGGATCGAATACCTTTACGAAGGGCAATGAGAGTAATCTCTAACAGAGGATCCGGAGGGGGAAGAGTCGACAGGAGACGACGGTGAGTCAGTAAGGGTCAAATCCGATGGAGCCGTAGAGGTGGCAAAACGGGCCAACCCGCCAAAAGCGGCGTTTGATGGTGGGTTGGAAACATCAACCACCCCATTTTGAGGTGGGTTGGTGGGTCAACCCGCCTAAAAAACAAATAATAATTAAAAAATAATAATAAATTATATTTTATTAATTTTATAATATTAGTTATTTTTATTTCACGCTTCTCTTAATTTTTTTTCAATCTCAAGCCTAAATATAAGTTAATATTCAGTCAGATATTTTTTAGGAACTTATTTTTGTCTTTATATATGGATAATCTTTGTCATAAATAAAGTTTTTTTCTTTATTTCTCTAGGGGCATACTAAAATAAAATATATATATATCACAAAAGTTTAGTGACAAATAAAATATTACCTAATAGTAAAAAAAAAAAAAAAACCTAGCCCGCGGGCCAACCCGCCACCAACCCATTTTGACCCACTACTAAACAGGGCGAGTTGAGACGGGTTGGTGGGTTGAAAGGTGTAACCCAACCCGCCCCGTTTTGGCGGGTTGGCGGGTTGACCCGTCGGGTTCAACCCATATTGCCACATCTAGATGGAGGCGCAGTCTAACGATGCTGATAGGTGAGAAAAGGACGGTCCTCGAGGATGGAGGCAAAGTGTCACTCATCTGGGATAGAGTCACCTGCAATTGGTAAAGACAAATCAAGACAAGGAACATGAAGAACCCGATCAACCTGTGTTATCTGAGACGGGATAGAATGAAAAGGTTGTTGATCAAAGAAAGTGACATCAGCTGTAACAATATAATGCTTGAGATCAGGAGAGTAGCAGCGATACCCCTTTTGGAAACGAGTATATCCAAGGAAAATACACTTGAAGGCTTTGGTTGTTAATTTATCTTTTCCTGGAGCAAGATCATGAACAAAGCAGGTACATCCTAATACATGTGGAGGCAAATGATAAGAAGGTGCTCCTGGAAATAATGCACTATGTGAAACTTCATTATTGAATACGAAAGAGGGCATATGATTGATGAGAAAGCAAGAGATGATTATAGCATCTGCCCAAAAATGAAGTGGAACATTCATATGAATTAGTAGGGTACATGCAGTTTCAACCAGATGTCTATTTTTACGTTCGACCTCTCCATTTTGTTGTGGAGTGTGTGGACAAATGGTCTGGTGTAACGTCTCACGTTTCTCCAAAAAATTAGAAAATTTTAGAGACAAATGGTCTTTTGCATTATCACTGCCCAAGATTTGAATAGAAGCACTAAATTGAGTATTTATCTCAGCACAAAAATTTTGACATTAAAAATAATTCAAAACGCTTTTTCATTAAACAAACCCAAGTTCAATGAGAGAAATCATCAATAAAGGTTACAAAATACTGAAAATCCAAAACAGACATTGTTTGACTCGAACCCCAAATATCAGAATGAACAATAGAAAATGGAGCATCAGCTCTTTTATTGACTCTATTAGCAAAGGAGGAGCGAGTGTGCTTTCCTTGCTAACAAGATTGACAGTTTAAAAACTTAAGATTGGATAAAAAAGAAACCATATGCTGAAGCTTGGAGAGACTTGGATGACTCAGACGACTGTGAATTAGCTCATGAGACTCTGTGAGATAACACGCTACTAGAGAAGGTGGTGCAATCAAATAGTAGAGACCTCGTGACTCAATGCCCGCTCTAATCGTCTTCCCCGTACCCGGATCCTCGATAGAAAAAAAATTTTTAGAGAAGATAACAGTACATGAAAGAGAATGAATCAACTAGCTAACAGAGATTAAATTAAAGGAAATGTCAGGTATATAATAAATAGAGTTCAAAGTTAAAAAAAGAGTTGGGTTGGCTTCCCTAATTCCACGAACAGGAGCCTTAGTGCCATCCGCAAGAGTGACAGAGGGTAGGTTATTAGAATAAGAAAGTGAAGTGAAGAGATCTTTATTACCACAAAGGTGATGAGTAGCACCTGAGTCTATTATCCAGGGTCCAAGAGATGATTGAGAAAGACAAGCAACATGATTACCAATGTCTTGAGTAGGATGCTGAGAAGAAACCTTCTTGAGAAGTGCCTCATAGTCGACACTTGAAAGAGTTACTGATCCAGTAAAAGGTAGAGTAGCATCAATCTGAGCAAAGTTGGCAGTCGGTGGCTTCAAGTGAGGGTACTTCCTATAGCAGTGTTCTTCAAAATGTCCAAGATTCTGACAATAATTGCAACGAGGCCTCTGTTCGCGGCCACCCTGTCCACGGCCACATCCGTGACTACGTCCACTGTTCCAATTAGAATCATTGGCACGAGAAAAGAATGCAGTGGAATCAGTAGCTAGCACATCTGTGGGAGCTGTTGATTTATCCTTAAGATTCAGAAAGCGCTGGAAAATGTGTGATAGGATAGGAGTCTCAGCACTGGTTAGAATATTCTCACGAACACTTTCTAACTCCTCTGAAAAACCGGAAAGGGTCACGACCATAAAGAAGTGCTCCACCTGCTTCTTGTACGCAGAGACATCTGCAGCATGAGGTAACATAGCTAAGAATTCTTACATCAAAGAACGACTCTTACCAATATAAGTCTCCATTCGAGACTCTGGTGATTTGCACAATTTCGTTATCTGAGAAACAATGGAATAAAGCTGTTGAATATCGGTGTAAGAGGTTTTTAGCTTTCTCCCACACGTCATAGCACGTCTCAAAAGGGATGAAAATGTCTATAATTGTCGGATCAATGGACTGCCAAAGGATACTTAGCAATTGAGCATCAAACTTTTCCCATTCAAAAGTCTGATCCTTTGAAATATCGGCAGACTTAGTTGTGAGATATTTTCCGTATTCCTTACCAGTAAACCAAGTCTTAACTGAGATAGATCAGGTCTTGTAAGTAGCAGATCCGGTCAGTTTAATCGTTGCAATGGATGGGGTAGAACTGAAGATGACGCTAAAAGTGTTTTTAGACGCATTACCTGAGCCCTCCATCACAATAATAAAAGAGATGACCAGATAAAAGCAAGAAACTGCAAACTCACAAGAAATCGCGCAAAAATAATTCAAAAAGATGTCCAAACAACGTGTTTTTCAATGATATCTTCTTAACGGATGGGACCCACAACGAACGGAGACCAGATTTGGAAAAAGGAGAGGAAGGCGTGTTGTTCTGTCCTGGAATGGCCGAAAAAGGACGTCAGACCAGTGCACACACGCCAGTGATAGGCGGCGCATGAGCACCACGTGAAGAGAGGATTGGCCGCGTGTGGGGGTGCATGAGCTAGCTGTCGGTGATGGGTCTTCCACATAACAGGTCGACGAAGGGAGGAGAGTCTGATCGCAAGTGTTCCAGTTGAAATCATCACCGAAAAAGTTCTTCGATGACCGTGAACAATAACAAACGGCGATTATGGTGGCAAACGGAGGATGATTTCTGACTATTCAAGGTTGAGGATAAATATTTGGTGACTAATTAAGGGTTAGGGCTAAAAAAGGGTTGCCGGTATGATGCACGACAAGATAAGGGTTTTATGCGAAAGCGAGGTTTCCCACAACACAAGCTCGAGTACCAACTTGAAAGTAAGAATGTATATTATATTCAATCGTATATAGAACTGTACAAAAGTCCTCTATTTAAAGAGGTTAAATGACCTAACGGGCCAAGCTCAAATAACTTGCTAGAATAACAAAATAATAAAAATACAATACTATTTAATACAATATTATTTCTAACATAAATAATGATGAACTAGGTAAATTAATTGGACAAAATAATCACTTTACAATAGTACATTATTTTGCAAGCATAATAATAATATGCTGAAAAGTTTACAACGCAGCACTAAGTAATTTGCAGAAAGAATTTACCAACCATTTTATTGATCACAATAAAATAGTGTCATACAAAAGCTGCGGCAAAGACTTACACAAATTGTAATATGCACTGCATTTGCCCCAATTCAACTCGCAGTTAGACTCCTTAACGGATAATATATTAAAATGCGAGTTATTATCCCAAAATTCCTCAATATATAGTTTATTGTGAGATTAACTGTGATTTGCTGGATGTAAAAACAACTATACTTGTATCACAATCTCTTGCATTCACTAGGGATGTTTAACATCCACCAACCTATTGGGAAAGAGGAGAAAAAGAAAAAGAAAAATTATTTGTAACCGCTACTCAATACTCTTCAAAAGCTGAGCAGAGTACCTGATCAATCTAACCATCTGAAAAAGAATTTATGATCTTAAATAAATCCACCGTTGCCAACTGGCCAGAGAAAAATTCAGGCCCCAGCTTTTGGTATTGATTTTTGTTTCTTAGCATCCAATGATGCCAACCCTTTGCCCAATCCAACTGGAGCATGTTCTTGGACAGGCATTGATTGTTCTTCTTTGGTATCAGATGGATCATTTGAAGGAAGGCCATTGTCTTCCTTTTCTACTGCATCTGCATCCCCATTGCCCGCAGCATCTGGAGTCACACCTGAATTTATAATATTGAGAAGCTGAGTAAGGGGAGACAATGTTTGCACTGGGACACCATGAGGATGTACTAAGAGGCCCCTTGCTGCAGCCTTTTTCCTGACATCAGCAGCTGCACGTGCCGCCCTTTCATCAATTCCCCTTCCTCTGGGAAGAGTCTCACCAATTATTGCAGCATTGAGGGATTTGTTTGCAGATGCACCTGAACTTCCAGATCCCCCAGCAGCTGCAGCAGCTTGAAATGCATGTATCAAATCAGGACGTGCCTGCCATTATATAAAATTCTCAATTTTCATTAGAAAGTACACAATCAGATATGTCAAAGAGCATAGAATTCGAGAGAAAGATCTAAAAACAAAATGCATTTGTCTCTGGCAAGTTAAAAAGCTTATATGGTCCTTTTTCTCATAATAAGGCGATAAAAGTTCTACGATGGTATAAACCTGGAGATTGTCACCAACCTGGAATCTTAAGAGTTAAATGGACAAATTTTGAAGTTTTCAGAGGAAAGGAAACCACCAAGTAAACTTATATATGCCTCACCAATACAGGAAAACATGTAAAAGATGACAATAGCATGCCCAAGAGAATCTTTTGACCAATGATTCAACTAAAACAATTGAATATGTCCTTCCTTTTTTCGAGTTATTGTCATTATTCTCTCAAAACACAAGCATGAAGTATATTCTCAGAATTAGCTACTAATTCCATCAGAAAAATAGCATTATGAATCAAAGGAACATAAGGAATAACCTTCAAGATATCAATAGCCTTCTGAGCAGATGCTGCGTTCAGAGCTTGACCCTTTTGCTTTTGAGCATTCATCTGTCACAATAAAATGTAAAATGTGAATCAAACATTACTAATATGTAAAAAAGAAATCATTTTTTTTTTGTGTAACCATGGGTGCAAACAGAAAATATGGTGAAATAGACATGGAATTTATTTTACATAGTTCAACCTACAGTGAAACTAAATACCCATGTCCTTGGATGAAATAATTGAAATTCACTATGATGAATGAAGATTATAAGGAGAAGTCGCTAAATGATCAAAGTCAACCTTAATCAAAATATACCCAAGTCAAGTCCTCAGTGTGGCTGAAATTTTATACACCCAGAATTCGTGAAGATTTGCAAATGAGTAATTTTGCTAACATGCAAAGTGTAACTGAAGTGCCAGGAAATTCAACCTGCCCGTTAACGCCAAATCCTATAAGAAATTGGGAATGTGATACGACACCAGTCCTAAAAGAGTATTGTAGGAAGCATTATAGCATATTTCCATCTCTCAATGCTGACTTAGTAAATTGGTTAGTTAATAGAGAATATTCTAGAAGTGGGTATGGCTAATAAATAAAGAGAAATGTTAAGTGTGAGGGGATGGAGAATATCTTTTGGGCCATTTGGAACCTTGGGCACCTTAGGGTGATTTGGGAGAGACTAGGGCAATGTTGTTAAAACGTAGAGTCTACGTAGAAACGGTAAGGGTGAACAGAAACGTAAGAGTTTACTATATATCAAAGAAAATTATAATTATATATATATATATATATATATATATATATATACATACACACACACATATATATATATATATATCTAAATCAATATTAAATTTAATTAAAAACTTCAAATTATTAATAATGTATTTAACAATTAATTTTTATTAATTATATAAAAAATTAACCTCTTAATTCAAATAAAAAAATAGAAAAGAGTGAAAATAAAAAATTAAATTTAATTGAAAACAAAATTTAAATTTAAATAATAATAATAATAATAATAAAGAATAGCAAGGGATAAGATTTCAAATTTGTGTAAAATAATATCTGAAAAGTCATCTCCTCTGTCAGTTTCTATCTTTATGGCTCATTGAAAATATACTCTCTCTCTCTCTGGGTATTTTTGCAAAAGATCTGAAGCACAAGGATTTGCAAGCAGAAATGAAGGAGGAGGAGGTCTCGTGAGCATCAAAAGAGAGCGCAGAACCTTCTTGACGCGTTTGTTTGCTGCGGCCAGAAGAGGAGGCTGCGCAACAGCGGTGGAGGATAGACGTAAGCGGTAGAGACAAGCGCAGCGTGAGCGGCAATGAGACCAAGAACACATATGAGAGCACAGAGAAGAGCGGCGAGGATGACGACGAAGTCAGAGTCAACGACGGCGGAATCTCCTCCCCCTCATCTCTGATTTTTTTAAATACTGGGTTGACTCGGTAAACTTGCAGAATCAACCGAGTTGACTCGTCGTTTCAACCGAGTCAACTCAGTTTCCGTTTTAACCACCGTTTCAACACGATTTTGGAACAAAAAACGTAAAATCGGCCGTTTCTACCGAGTCGACTCAACGTTTTAACAACAGTGGACTAGGGTCTCTAGAATTCCTCTAGAATTATCCTTTCCTGATTTCCTTACTGTTAGTTAATTTCCAGTTCATTGTATTTGTCTTTCTTCTTGTAATTTGTCTCTGAATTACTGTATCAGTTGTAATTGTCTCTGGAAAAATAAATAAAAACCTAATTATTTAGGCCAAGGATCTCTATTATTGTCCTTATTTTAGTAATCCGAGTAGAAGGTCCTTAACAGAATGCTATAAAATTTGCAAAATGAGAAATTTCCCAGCCTTCAGGAAAACAAAAAGCCTCGATCCAACCATACCTTACAACTGGCTAAAACATTAAGCTCTAAATCCGATCCAAACGACCAATAATGTCTTCTTTTCCAAAATCATGGGTGTTTCATATATGATTGTTCATTAATACCAGTGTTTTAAAACTCGGACCAGTCATCGACTCGGTCAAGGTATTAGGTTAGTGGTTCAACTGGGTTCAACCGAATTTCAAAATAATATAAAATAAATATTAATAAATATATTACTCATATTAACAACTGATGTTGATTTTGACATTTCCTCAAACAGGTCATGTACAAGAAATTTGAATACTTTGAATGGCATTAATTTTAAATTAAACAAATCACCCAAATAAGTATATCAATTTTTACAAACAGAAAATTAAAACAAAAGGAACAGATCTGACTTTGCTCACCCTCAAGCCCTTACTCTTTAGTATCCATGACAAAACCATAGTGTTTGCCAACCATCACATGCAAATGCACATTATATGCAAGAGACAGCAGTGCCCCTAATTTTAAATTCCCTCAACTGGTAGCCAAGGGATATACACAAACCTATGGCATTGATTACGAAGAAACATTTGCTCCAGTGGCCAAAATGAAACTGTAAGAGTTCTATTGTCCCTCGCTGCTCATTCTAGCTGGGATTTGAATCAATTGATGTGAAAAATGTCTTTCTCAATGGCGAATTAAAAGAGGAGGTTTACATGGAGATCCCACCAGGATTTAACTCTACAAATGAAGATAATAAAGTTTGCAGGTTAAAGAAGGCGATGTATGGCTTGAAGCAATCCCTGCGTGTTTGGTTTAGAATATTTACCAAAGTTATGCTTTCATTGGGATATAAGCAAAGTCAAGGTGATCATACACTTTTCTTTAAACATTCTCAAGAAGGTAAGACCACTATCCTTCTAGTTTATGTTGATGACATTATTATAACAGGGGATGATATAGGTGAGAAATGTGCTTTGCAAAAAAGACTGACTGCTGAATTAGAAGTTAAAGATCTTGGAAAACTGAGATATTTTCTTGGGATAAAAGTTGTTCATTCAAAGCAAGGGATATTTATTTGTCAAAGGAAGTATGTTCTTGACCTCCTTAAAGAAGCAGGAAAACTTGGGTGTAAACCTTTCAGTACTCTGATTGAGCAGAATCACAGACTAGGAAGTGAAAATGAGAGCCTTACAGTTGACAAAGAACAATATCAACGAATAGTGGGAAGATTGATATATCTAGCTCATACTAACTTGATCTAGCTTATGCATTTAGTGTTGTTAGTCAATTTATGCATGATCCGAGGGAGAAACACTTGCGAGCTGCGGACAAGATTCTCCCATATCTGAAAGGCACACCAGGCAGAAGACTATTGTTCCAGAGAGGAGGAAACCTATCATTAGAAGTTTATACAGATGCCGATTATGTTGGATCCGTGACTGACCGACGGTCTACTTCAGGCTATTGTATGTTTTTCTGTGGAAATCTAATAACATGGAGAAGTAAAAAGCAAAATGTGGTTGCTAGATCAAGTGCAAAAGCAGAATTTCAAGCTATGGCTCAAGGTATCTGTGAGTTATTATTGCTGAAAATCATTCGTGATGATCTCAAGGTGAGATATGAAGGATCTATGAAGTTACTTTGTGATAACAAGTCAGCTATGTGTATAGCCCACAATCCAGTTCAACACGATGGAACCAAACATATTGAGATTGATCGCCACTTCATTAAAGAGAAACTAGACAGTGGACTGATCATTACTTCATTAAAGAGAAACTATAAGTAGAAAAAGTAACCGAAACAAACAGAACAAACCAAGATTCTCCATTGCACAAACTGGGTGTTCTTGGGTATCTGAATCATCTTCCCAAAACCCTTCAAGGTCAAACCTTTTCAGCAAATAGAATCTACCTTTTATCCCAAATTCAAGCAAAGTACACTTCCCTCACAATGCTAAGCCAATCCGATTCACCCAACGTGTACACTAACCCACTGAGAATATGTTTTCTGACAACAACAACAATATCATGCTTGCAGCCATCGTTTCCCTGCTCCTAGTCATCCTTTTTGTCGATAGTTTCGGCGATTCCCATGTTTGTGCGATTCCCATGATCGTGGGAATGATAATTATGGAGGTGTTGGGGTGAATGGTTCTATATCAGAAACTTCGATTTCCCCTTTTTTGCTTACCGTTTTGGCAGAAGACGAGTTCTTAGAGTCCAACGAAGCTTGAGGCTAGGTGGGAAGGTTCCACATCAACCAGAATATGAAAAAGAACTCAGTTTAAAAACCTTTGAGATTAACTTGTGTCAACTAGCATTGCTTGTCTCTCATTAGTGGGTGGGTTTCTAACGACCCAGCAGGTTCCGGTTTTTACAAAACCGGCCAGTCGAACCCGGTTGTGACCGGGCCAAAACGGTTTGAATGCATATCCAATCAATATGTAACTCGAACAGGCCAAGGGACCGGTTTACCGAAAACCAGGTTGACCCGGCCGGTTTGATCCAAGTTTTAAAACACTGATTAATACTACCAATATTTTAATACGAATCTTGGGAGAACCTCACCCCAAGAGCTAGCTCAAGAAGTAAGAGAACCCAAAGTCCATATAAACCCCACATTAGTCACCCATATAACCAATGTGGGACTCCAAGTCCCATACCTTGGAGTAGGATCGTAACCCCACATTAGTCCCTTTGCGCTAGTCTTTTACTAGCCCTGGGTGAACACTGTAATGTCAGCGTTACCATCCGCGCTGCTCGATTGCAACTGAGAGACATAGTGGAAGGCTCTGATACCAATTGATAGGTATCAGAAACTGAGAAAGAAAAATTGAATAAAGAAGATGTATATTGATATGTTGCAACTTAATACAACTCCAATGAAGGATTACAATAGTGTTTAAAAGGAGAAAATTACAGAACTGGAATTGATACTACAAGTAATGAAAAAACAAGAAAGGAAAGAAGGCAAATTACAACTACTTTCCAGAACATTTAAGAGGTTCTGGTTCTCTCCCAAGAGTCCTAACTTTCCAAGATGATTCCTCTTCAGCCTCTCCCTTTCTATTTGTAACCAATTGATTGCAATCAGCGTGACTCCCCTAACCAACTTTCCCTCCATTCCCTGATGTTGACTCATCCCTTAATTCTATCATATGTTGTGCACGTGGGTCATCTAATCCCTTGTGCCTATCTATTTTTTTCTGCCTAACGTATCATATTTATACTCATTTCATTCAAAAGCAAGTTTGACTTGTTTGAGGTTTAGTTTCTATTGTGTTATATCTTTGGTTAGTTTTGAATACAGTTATTTATGATCACTTTGTATTCTGAACATATTTGACCAGTTTTAGGTTTAGTTTCCTAAAAGTGAAACTGATACAGACGGAAATAAGGGGGGACCCATAGGACCTAGAAAGCATGTCCGAGGAGGAATAAACCAGGGCATCCAGTTAGATTAGTTGGTGACCTTAATTAGGGGCTTGAGTTAGTTAGCACTGCTGGTCAAGCAGTTAGAAGCAGTTAGTTAGTTAGTGGCTTATCAAGGAAGCCTAACGACTTGTATATAAGGGAAATACCCCTCTGTTAGGAGAAGCTTTTGGACAGAAATTGTGTTAGGCGGAGAGATTCTCAGTTGAAGGGGAGTACCCCTTGTGAACTGGTTTTCCTGTTCTTTAGTAATTCATCAATAATATCTTCCCTTTTTTCATTTTCCTTCCCTTTCCATTTTCCTCTTACCCCATTACTGTCATTCCTTACCTTCAAGAATCCAGAGCCTTAACGGAAACAGCATACATTTTTGGTTAAGCATTGAATTTATGTTAAGATTTTTATGCACTCCTGGTAACAGCATACATGGAATCAAATGCTTTTTCTTAAATTTTTTCTTGTGTCTTTCTTGAGAATGGTAAGTACTCCCAGTAAAGTGATGCCATACGGGAATGTATAATTCCATCAACCAAGGGGAAACTAAACGGATACCTGTAGTTCACGTTTCTTAAATGTTTTCATCCAGTTTTGTGAGTCTCTTGACCTTGAATCATCTTCGCCGAGTTGTTTGACAAGTATATCATATGTTTTCTTCTCATGCTGTCAAACCAAATGCCAGAATGACTCAACCGCGTACGGATGAAGTTAGAAAGCAGAAAAAAATTTGTATCAATGTGCATACCTGGTAAGAGAGCTTGAAAGCACCCATACAGTTAAATGCAATAGCAAGAGCATGATAACAAACGGCAGTTTGAATATGTTCCTCACCAAGAAGCCTTTCGTTCTTCTTTAAAGCTTCTTGCAGATAACGAAGAGCTATGTTCATCTTTCCAATATCCTGATACATCATCGCAACATTTATAAAAGTCGCTGCAACATCAGGATGATCAGGGCCTGATGACAAACTTAATAGCTGCAAAGCACGGGACATGTAGCGAAGGGCAAGTTCTGTTTGGTTAAGTCCATGATAGAACAGAGCCATATTGCCATAACTGCAACAACAATGTTAAGATCACACAGTTTTCTGTTTGTAACATACACCAGAATTTTAGTAACTTGGTATCCCATTATGTTTTTTCCCATTGTGACATTCCAATATGGCTTGGCATAAACACAACATATACAAATATAAGAATGTAGAAGAATACAGAACCCCACAGTATTACAAAGATGAACCAAGATCAAGGAAATAGGGAATGCCTGTGAGCAGTGTCGGGATGATCTAAACCAAGACAACGTTCATTTATAATTAACTCTTTATGTTGTTGAGTAATAGCCCCAGCCAAGTCTCCAGCGTGAAACAAAACCATGGCAAGATACCTGAAATTTAGTAATTTAAATTGAGATTAAATATGCCATGTGCAAATATATTCATAACAAAGGACTCAAACAATGGGCTATAATTCTTCAAAATTAAAAGGCATAGCAACTGAAAATCATATATCAGAATTATTTCCCATCCATTTCCCAAGTCCAAAGCAGAAAGGCATGAAGATATGATTAACTATAACTAAATAAACATAGAATCATGCTAACATGACAGAAACAACTACTGACATACCGACAGCAATTAGCAACCTCCCGATGCATTGGACCAGTAACCTGCAGCCCATTACACAACAATTATTTTAAGCACAGGAAATTCCTCTAAGAGAGATACAACAATATGGAATTTCATGCCTGTTGTAGAATTGAGAATGCCTCTGAAAATAAAGTGTAGGCTTCACCGAGCAGGCCCTACGTCAGAAAAATAATTACCCAAATTAACACATTTTTATCAGATAAATCATGAACTAAACTTCCACAATTTACAATTAAACATTTTCACCAAGAGGCACAACCATTTACTTGAGAATATGGAAATATGAATATTGTATTGTCTATTGAATTGATAGAAAGGTATACAATATATAGAGACCCTAATGGGCTTAAAGGAGAAACTCAGACCTAACCCAAATCCTAATGAAATAAGGAAACAAATATTCACGGATAATAACGTAATATATACAGATAATATTTCTAAAACTCCCCTCAAGCTAGCGCGTATTTATAAGCTCCCAGCTTGTTACATATATAATCTATTCGTGGACCTCTACGAGCCTTGGTGAAAATATTTGCAAGTTGATCACTGGAATTGACGAACTCTGTCTCGATCTCTCTTGATTGAATCTTTTCTCGAACGAAGTGAGAGTCAATTTCTATGTGTTTGGTCCTCTCATGAAAGACTGTGTTAAAGGATATGTGCAATGCGTCTTGATTGTCACAAATGAGTTTCATGTGCCGTTGTTCACAGAGACGTAGTTCCTTAATCAATTTCCTTAACCAGATGAGCTCACAGTTTGCTTCTTACTTTTTCAAGAAGTCAAATTTCCTCCATGGAGAACACAATACCTAAAAGTGGAGCGTCTGTCTGACGGAGAACCTACCCCAATCAGCATCTAAAAAGCTACACACCTCTGTATTCCCTTTATTTGTGTATAATAAACCTCTTCCTGGTGCTCTTTTGATGTATCGGAGAATCCTGACAACTGCATCTCAATGAGTCACGAGGAGAGTCAAGGAATTGACTTGCCACACTAACTGCAAAAGAGATGTCTGGCCTTGTCACAGTAAGATAGTTCAACTTTTCAACTGATCTGCGATAACGACCAGGGTCTGCTACTGGCTCCCCCTGTCCGGGTAATAGCTTAACATTAGGATTCATGTGTGTATCAATGGGCTTATATCTCAACATACCAGTCTCCTCTAGGATATCCAGGGCATACTTTCTTTGACAAATGGAAATGCCCTGCCTAGATTGTGCCACTTCAATCCCTAAGAAATAATGAAGCCTGCCAAGGTCTTTGATCTGAAATTGACTAAATAAGTACTTATTTAACTTATCAATCCCAGCTTGATCGCTACCATTAATAATGATGTCATCAATATAGACCAAGAGGTAAATGCACTGATCAGAAGAGCTATGCCAATAGAAAACAGAATGATTGGCTTCACTTCGGATTAAACCGAAGGCTTGAACAGCGGAACTGAAGCGACTAAACCAAGCCCAAGAAGACTGCTTCAGACCATATAAGGATTTACGAAGCTTACATACCATTCCAGAACACTCCCCCTCAGCAACAAAACCTGATGGTTGCTCAATGTATTCCTCTTCCTGCAAATTACCATGTAAGACGGCAATTTTGATATCAAGCTGAAGAAGGGGCCAGTGATGAATGGTAGCAAGTGCAAGAAACAAGCGAACAGAAGCCATCTTGGCAACAGGAGAGAAAGTTCCCCATAGTCAAGGCCAAAAATCTGAGTGTATCCCTTGGCCACTAAGCGAACTTTAAGGCGGTCAACAAGGCCATCAAAAACAACTTTGACTGTGAATACCCATCAACAACCGACTTCCTGGGAAGAGCGCGAACAAAATCTCATGTGCCATTAAAGTGAAGTGCTGTCATTTCATCAATCAACGCCTGGCGCCAACCCTCATGAGATAGTGCTTCACTTGTGGTCTTAGGAATGGAAACAAAAGAAAGACTAGAAAGAAAGGTAAAATATTGTGAAGAAAATCAGTCATAACTCAAGAAAACATAAAGTGGACGAGGGTTGTGAATGGATCGAATACATTTGCACTGGGCAATTGAAGTAAATACTGTAAAGAACCAATTCAACCCAAAAGCTTAAGCTAGTGGGAGAGGCTACATTAATGGTTTTATATATCTCAACATGCCCCCTCACACAAGAGTCCACTGGGCTTGAAGAGTGGACAATGCACAACCCACCTACCTGTGCGAAGAAAGAAATTCCACTAGAAAGAAAGTGGGGGGTGAGGATCGAACCCGATACACCGAGGCTTTGATACCATGTAAAGAACCAATTCAACCCAAAAGCTTAAGCTGTTGGGTGAGGCTACATTAATGGTTTTATATATCTCAACACGCCCCCTCACACGAGAGCCCACTGGGCTTAAAGGGTGGACAACGCACAGGCCCACCTACCTGTGCGAACAAAGAAATTTCACTTGACAGAAAGTGGGGGGCGGCAAGGATACCATGTAAAGAACCAATTCAACCCAAAAGCTTAAGCTGTTGGGTGAGGCTACATTAATGGTTTTATATATCTCAACAAAAGACAACCATTGAAGGTGGTGAGTTAGTCGGAGTAAGGTCTACAATAGGCCAACACCTGCAACTGGTAAAGACAATCAAGAAAAGGAATGGGAAGAATATGATCAATCTGTGACACAGAAGTTTGGGAACTAGAAAAGGGTTGCTGATCCATGAAGGTGACATCGGCAGACACAATGTACGTTTGAGGTTAGGAGAGTAGCAGCGATAACCCATTTGAAAGCGAGTATAACCAAGGAAGATACACTCGAAGGCTTTGGATGTTAATTTGTCTTTTCCCGAAGTGAGGTAATGAACAAAGCAAGTACACCCAAATACATGCGGAGGCAGTGGATAAGGAGGTGCAACTGGAAATAAGACATTGTGTGGGACTTTATTATTAAGCACGGAAGAGGGCATACGAATGATGAGAAAACAAGTATTAGATATATAGTTGTAGCTTCTTTAAATGTACCCGCATGTATCAGATACTTTCCTACACAGTTTGTTACAGATCTGTTAGGTGTTAGCTGTCAATTAGTTAGATCATCACTCTATATATATATTGATAGAGTGCAGACTGTATATTCAGATTACATAATACAATTCATACATTCTCTCTCTTCTCTCTCTCTCTTTCTCTCATCTATGGATTCTCTCAAGAACTCAAACATGGTATCAGAGCTCTCTTTCTGAGGGCCTGATCCATCTTTGTGCTCCACTATGTCTTCCGCATCGAACACCAACAACAACACTTCAACAGAAAATAGCGTTCCAGCATCTTCTAGGTCGAACAAAGATTCAACACAAATGGAGAATCGTTCACCACTTCTATTCAATCATCAAATCACTGTGAAGCTAACTGAAAACAACTATCTGTTCTGGAATCAAATAGTCGAACCTATTATCACTTCACACCAACTTCATCGTCACCTGGTGAATCCAAAGATTCCAGTGCAGTTTGCTTCTGATGTAGATCGTGAGAACGAGATCCAGAATCCAGAGTATGTGCAATGGATTACACAAGATTTAATGTTACTGTCTTGGCTTCTGTCAACAATCTCAGAATCTGTTGTCAATGAGATTCTTGGAGTCAAATATGCTTACGAAGCTTGGGACAAGATACACAAGCTCTTTCATGGAGTGATGAAATCTAGATCTCGTCAACTACACTCAGAACTAAGAACTATCAGAAAAGGTAACAGATCTGCTAAGGAATACTTGTCTCGAATCAAAAGCCTATGTGATTCATTGAAGGCTATAGGAAATCCAGTCACAAATGAAGATAGAACAGATTACATACCGGAAGGACTTCCAGTCGAGTACAATGCCTTTGTAACAACCGTTCATGGAAGAGAAAATCCTTACTCCGTTGAGGATCTTGGTATAGAGTTGATGACACATGAACAGATGCTGTTGAAACAGAGTGAATCCCTTCTTGACTCTGTCACTGTGAATGTGGCTCAAAAACAGAGCAACACTGCTTAAACAACTCCTCTGTTTGCCCCTGTTTTAGCGAATCAAGAACAGAGCACTGGTAAGGCTTCTGAACAGTTTGGTTTTGTTAATACTCTTCGTTCTAATGACTTCAATAGAGGACAAGGACGATATATTGGAAGAAATAATAAAGGTAGAGGCCGTGGGAATAGACAAAACGTTCATTGTCAGCTCTGTTACAAATATGGTCATGATGTGAGATCTTGCTGGCATAGTTTTGATGAAGACTTCACACCCAAACTTCCACCTCCACAGAGTTCATCAACCGGTCAATTCTTTGCTCAAAATCAGACTCCACAAGTCCAGCAGCGAAGTTATCAGTATGTTCGACCTGATTATCAGTATGTTCGTCCAGTTACTTCTGTACCTCAAGCTATGATGACTGTACAGCCAGGATTGCTTCCAACACCAGTCTCCTCTCCAGCTATTGAGTGGTATCCAGACTCAGGTGCTTCACATCATGTCACTGCAAACCCAATGAATTTGATTCAGAGTCAACAACTAAGTGGTTCTGATCAGGTCATCATTGGTAATGGCCAAGGTTTGAACATTAAAGCAATTGGATCTTCAAGTTTTCTGTCACCTTGTGATTCTGATACAAGTTTGCATCTTAAAAACCTTTTGTTAGTTCCTTCCATTATGAAAAACCTTATGAGTGTCAGTCAATTTGCCAAAGACAATTGTGTTTACTTTGAATTTCATCCCAATGTTTGTTTTGTCAAATCACAGGTATCTCATAACATCCTTCTCCGAGGAGTGCTTGGAGATGATGGTCTGTATAAGTTCTCAGACATCTCTCTTCCTTTGAAATCTGCTTGCACTTTGACATCCACACCTTCTAGCTCAGACAACACCGTTTCTGGTGCTATTTCACAATGTAATCCTGCTCATAGTGTCAATAAAACTGTAAATCACACTGTTCAGTCTTGTAATAGTGATAGACAGTCATGTATGCCTTCTGATTCTGCATTTTTCTTATGCCATTGCCGTCTAGGGCATCCTAATCATGTAACCTTGACAAAGGTGCTTCACTCTTGTAATATTCCAGCTTCAAATAAAATTGTCAGTGAATTTTGTTCATCTTGTTGTCTTGGTAAGGCACATAGACTCCCCTCATATCCCTCTCTATCTGAATATGATACCCCC